CAGAAATTGTAATCATTTAAAATATTCTATTAAAACAAGAGAAGGCAGAAAAAAAGATTTAAAAAACAGAGCAAGTGCAATGAATTGTAAGCAGTTTCAATCATGGTAGGTATTTATCCAATTAAATCAGTAATTACTTTAAATGTGAATGGTTTAAATATATCAATTAAAATAAGAGACTGTCAAGAGAATAAATAACAAGCGCTTCAAGCCAGGGACAGTGGTGCACACCTGTCATCCTAGCAGCTTGGGAGGCTGAGGCAGGAGGATCATGAGTTCAGAGCCAGCCTCAGCAACTTAGGGAGGCCCGAAGCAACTTAGTGAGATCCTCTCTAAATAAAAAGTTAAAAGGCCTAGGGAGGTGTCTTGATGGTAAAGTGCCTCTTGGTTCAATCCCTAGTACAAAAACACAAGGCTTGGTAGGCTGTGGCAGGAGATTTTAAGTTCAAGGTCAGCTTGGGCAACTTGGTATCCCTATTGCTGACAACAAGATTCTCTATTTAGAAGACCCAAAACTACACCAAAATAACTTAGAACTCAAAAAAAAAAAAAAAACTGAGCATATACCTCAGTGGTAAAGTTCCCTGTTTAATCCCCAGTACCACCTCCACAAGAAAGAAGGAAGGAAGGAAAGGGATCCAAATGCATGTTATTTTCAAGGAACCCATTTTAAACATAAAAGCTTAAATAATAAGAAGTAGAGGAGTGGGTCTGGGGCTGAGAATCAGTAGTAGAGCACTTGCCTAGCATGGGTGAGGCACTGGGTTCAATCCTCAGCACCACATAAAAATAAATATATAAAATAAAGTTATAAAAAATGTAGAGGAGTAAAGAAAGATGAAACACACACTAACCAAACAAAATGGGATTAGCTATTTTAATTTCAGACAAAGTAATCTACAGAGCAAGGAATATTGTCAGAGACAAAGGTGGTTAGTGATGTTAAGGATTGTCATGTCTCACCGATTCTTCAAGGAGACATGATAATCCTTAACATATATGCACCTAATCACAGTGTCAAAATATGTGCTGCAAAACCAATAGAACCACAAAGAAAAATAGATTAATCTATCATTTGTAGTTGGAGAGTTGAACAGCCCCCATCAGTAATTGACAGACCTGGCAAGGTAGAAAATTTGTGAGGATATAGTTGAATTGAACAGTGCTATCAATCAACTGGATCTAATTGACATGTTTAAAATGCTTTATCCAACTAGAACAGAATGTCCATTCTCTTCACATGGAACAGTCACCAAGACAGAGAACATCCTAGGCCATAAACACATAGATATATAAATAATAGATTTCATGCAAATGGCCAGGTACGGTGGCACACGCCTATAATCCCAGTAGCTTGGGAGGCTGAGGCAGGAGGATGGTGAGTTCAAAGCCAGCCTCAGCAACAGTGAGGCAATAAGCTACTCAGTGAGACCCTGTCTCTAATAAAATACAAAATTGGGCTGGGGATGTGGCTCAGTAGTTGAGTGCCCCTGAGTTCAATCCCTGGTATTCAAAAAAAAAACTATGCTCCCAGACCACAACTGAATTAAACTAAAAATAAATAACAAAAAGATAGCTCAGAAGTCCCCAAATAATTGCAGATTAAGTAGTACCTGTCTAAACAATGTATGTCCCCTCTGCTTCTATATTCTGGAAAAGACACAAAAGAATTGGTATCATTTCTTCCTCAAATATTTTATAGATTTCACCAGTGAACCCATCTGGGCCCGGTGCTTTCTTTTTGAGGGAGGTTCTTAATTATTCATTCAATCCTGCTCATACATAGGAGGCCTATTCAGATGATCTGTTCTTTCTTGTGTGAGTTTTGGTAAATTTTGTCTCTCAGGGATTGTTGGGATTGGTCCATTTCATCTAAGTTACCAAATCTGTGGGTATAGACTCATAATATCCCTTTATTGGCCTTTTAATGATATACTTTTAATGATCCATACCGATGCCCCTCTACATTCCTATACTAGTCGTTTGTAACTGGTAATTAGTGCTATAGGGATCTTTTCTCTTTTTTCTCCATCCGCCTGGCTAGAGGTTTGTCCAGGTTACAGTTCTTTTCGAACAACCAACTTTCAGTTTCATTGATTTTTTTTCTACCGATTCCCTGTTTTTAATTTCGCTGGTTTGTTTTTTAATTTTCATTATTTCTTTTCTTTCACTTATTTTGGATTTAATTTGATCTTCTTTTTCTTATTTTCCTAAAATAAAAGCTGGAGTTACTGATTTCAGATCTTCCTTCTCATCTAATATACGCATTCAAAGCTACAAATGTCCCATTTACCTCCACTTTCACTGTGTCCCACACATTTCCATAAGCTCCGTTTTCATTTTCATTTAGTTCAAAATAGTTCCAACTCTCTCTTGAGCCTTCTTTTCTGAGAGGTTTGCTATCTACCTTACTAGGAGCTGCTCTGAATGTTTGCGTAGCTGTAGGTGCCAGAGGCGTGGGTTCCCTCTCATTTCCTCGGTCTCTTTCTCCCTCTGTTGTCTTAGGGGTTCCCTAAGAACCCCTTCTTCCGTGGAGCCCCGTCTTGCGCGTCTCCCGGCTGTAATCCTGCAGCCCTGTTCATGTGGTGAGATGGTGAGAGAGAAAGCACCTCAGATCTGAAGATTAAATCTCACCATCTTGGTGGGCCTGAGTCCATGAACAGTGACTCCCAGAGGGGTTTCTGACCTCCTTTGTCCTGCCCTTGCATGGGACAGGAAGACTGGAGATGCTGGCGCTGTCTAATGGCCCTTCTCCAGGGCGCGTGGGCCTCTGGTGCATTGGTCTCCCCTACCACAGGTCTTTGTTCTGGAGGAAGTCTAGGCATGCTTCAAAGACCGGAAGCCCTGGGATTTTTCTCCCATTTCCACCTTGAGAATACGGTGAGGGACTCCCTAAGAATCTAAGGTCCATCTCCAGGAGTTTTCCCTGTCCACCTTCGGCACAGCCCCATCCAGCAACTTATCGTTCCCAGTTACTGGCTCCAGGATCTTCCGCCCCTGGCAAGCCAGCTTGGCTGCTGAGCCTTTGTATTCACCTGTCTCTCCCGTTCTCAACTTGGCAGACTGCCCTGTGACCTCAATTCTCTGATGGACCCTAGAGAAATCATTGATTTTCAGTTTGCTCAGCTTTTTTTTTTTTTTTCCTTGTAGTGAAGATGGGAGTGTGGGCCTCTGCGACCTGTGCATATTGGAGTTAAAACTGAGAAGCATGTTGCACGTTGCCCACCAGTCCTGAGGGCTGAGCTTCCTCCTCCAGGTCACAGAGAAGAAAGCTGAGGCTCAGCGAGGTTAAGGGACATGCCCAAGGTCACCAAGCTCATGGTGGAACCAAAATTCTTCCTTCAGAATCTAATGGTATTTGAGAAACCCTCGTGGCCACAAGCGTTCCAGGAGGGCGTCCCATTGAGGCCCGTCAGAGACATTTAACAGAATCCTTGGTCAAATCTGGGCTTAATCACTTAATCCAGGAGTGCAATACAAATCTCCTGAGCCATCTGATCAGCTCTCTGTCTGTAGTCAAGAAAACGCCGAGTTAGCACGATAGAGCCTGTCCTTCCCGTCTTTCACCAGGAGCACACTGGTCACGATCCTCATCTTACTGCTGTAAGATGAATCACACTGTTTAAAACCAGTCCTCCAAGTGCCTCTGGGGACATGTGGCCATGTGTGGAGGCAGGTGGTAGGGAAGCTGCTGAAATGGCCCTCCGTGGGTAGAGGCCAGGGTGCTGCCACGCATCCTGTAATGCACAGGAGGTCCCCACGCAAAGAGTTACCCGGCTAAAACCTGAATAGTCACCACATTTTCCCTCGGGCTTCCCTAAAAGACAGCTCCTGGGGCTGTGATAAGCTCCAGGGACCCCACTTTGGACAAATGACCCAGCTGCAGCCCCGTGAGGGCCAAAGGAAGCGCCCTCAGCCCGGGAGGCCCAGGCGACGCCCCACCATACCTCATCTGCTCCGCGCGACCTGACTTCACTGAGACTCTGCTGAGCGGTGGTGGGTGTCTCTGCCCACGCTCCCCCTTCACGTCTGCAGAGGGAGGAGGAAGCCTTATGTAAGCGCAGCCTCGTACAGCCTTCTGTCATGTTGGCTCCCTGGGCCGGGAAACCCCTCCCTTCTCAAATCTCGTGGCTCTGCCGGTCTGCTTGCCACCTGCAGGTGACATCCAGCTTGTTAGCCTCTGGGCTTGGCCTTGCCTCCACCCTCTGCACCCACCCCCATCCCAGCCCACCCTTCTGCCACACCTTGCTGGGCCAGGCCAGCGAATCTCTTCTGGGCACCTCTGCTCAGGTATTCCTCCCAGCCTGGATTGCCCATCCAACCTTGACTGGCCATGTGTAAGGCCCTCTCCGAGAAGCTTCCAGACCCTCCCTGCCATGTTTTCCTGCTGTGTTTGGTGCTGTGTGGTTCTTTTCTGGCCATTGGAGCTGTACCATCTTGAACAAATCACTCTCCCTCTCTGCCCTGCGTACCCCTAGGCAGCCGAGTGTTAACCGAGGTGTGGGTGCTTCCCACATCCAGGGAGACATGGGCCCACCTGGAGGAGGCTCAAAATCCCAACCAACTTTAGGAGGCTCCCTGATTATCCGTTTTTGGTGGCCCTAACTGGCCCCTAGACGGTGCTGCTCCTAGGCATGAGTACAGTGAAAGAAACGTTTTTTTTCTCGTGCACTAATAAAATTACCTTCTCTAAAGAAGGCAATTTGCATGTTAATGTTTTGGGTAATTCTGTGAAGCTCTAATGCCCTCGGGGCTGCAATTTCTCTCTGACAAAGTGACAAAAATAAACTCCCGCATAAAAGAGCATTTCTCTTCTCTCTCATTTGTGCTCTAATGTGACATCCTTAATGTGAGTCAAGTTGAAACCCACTGCTCCGTCTTATTTTTGACACTGATCTGCCTCATGTCATCTCTCCAAGTGACAACCGAGTTCTGAAGAGTCTCTCAGAGGGGTCTCTCCTTGAGGACAGTCCCCTTAGGGATTGGGCTCCACCCTCGCTCCCCGCCCTCCACCCCTCCAAGGCTGATTCTTCCTCTATAAATCCAGAGGGCCCAGCTAGGTAACTGGAGGGTGGACAGAGGGGGCAGGGAAGAGCATGGCCTTTGGTGGGTGAGTTCAGGTAGCCAAACTGCCTAGCTCCAGGAAACAGGGCCACCAAAATGGCATGGCTTCTGAGCCACTGGCCTATAAGAGAGCTGACTGTTTACTCCACCAGGCTCGGACCTGCTCTAATGACTTAAGGACAGTTAAGAAAGAAGAGGTGGTCTTGAATGTCCCCATAGAGGTGGGAGGCCAATGATAAGGCGGTGAGTGACACCTTCCTGGGGCGTGGGCCAGATACATCATCCTAAGAACCAGGAGGGGAGGGTGGAAGCTGAGGCTCCCGAGCACAGTGCATTAGCCAAGGTGGCTGAGCAGCATGTAAGTGGCAGACCCTGCCTTTAGCATCCAGCCTGGCTCTTTCTGCCCCACAGGGGTCAACTATTGTTCCCCAGGAGCCTTCCACACTTCAGGCACTGATGGTGAGAGAGACGCGCAGGGGTGAACAGAGCACCCAGGGCCTTGTGCCCTTGGCGCCTGGCCGTAGAGGCAGACTCCCAACTCGGATGCACACTCGAAGCCGGGGGCTGTGAGGAGTTCTGGGAAATGAAATAGACATATTTTAATGACAGAGAGGACCTAATTTATATTAGGGGGTGGGCCAGGGAGATGGGACAGAAGGAATACCAGTGACCAGGGCCCAGAGGTGGGAAGTCGTGCAGCAGGTTCTGGGAGATGAAAGACATCAGGGAGGGAGATTGGGGGATGCGCCAGACAGTGTAGACCTGGATGGGACTGGCTCTGGCTGGGCTGTCAGAGAGTCTAAATAGCAGGCGAGTTTGTGGTTGACTAGAGTCTTTAAGAGGTGGTCTTGAATGTCCCCATAGAGGTGGGAGGCCAGTGAGAAGGCTGTGAGGGACACCAGGGGAGTGATGGACGCCCAGGCTGGGGGCTGGCAGATGGAAAGCAAGAGTTATGATGCTTGGAGTGCAGAGGTGTGGAGGGGTGGGCCGAGGGGCTGTGCATGAAAAGATTGACACCCCCCCCCAGTTCTTGCTCTGTTCTGGCAAATAAATGAGTTGGAGATGCCATTTATAGATGCGGTCAGACTCGAGGACAGGCAGAACTGTGAAGCCACGACCAAGACATTCATTTTTAACAGGCTCCTTGAGATGCTAATGAGGTATCCAGGTGGCAAAAAAAAAAGCAGTCTGGCCTGGAGATAACGACTGCGACCATTTTGAACCTCGTGAATTCATTGAAGATATTTAAAGCCCAGGGAATGAATGACAGGAAGAGAGAGCAGAGGAGCCTGGGGAGAGCACTGCAGGACCCAAGGCAAGGTGAAGCCAGAGGAGCCCGAAGAAGAAAGAAGAGCCTGAGCCAGCCCCAGTCAGCTGCGGGAAGCGGGAGGGTGGGGCCAGACTGCAGCGGGGAGGCAGAGAGGCTTTCACATTGTCAAACTGCGGAGGGACGCTGAGAGCTCAGAAGGGAATGCAGGTGTCCCGCCACTTGCAAGAGCTGCTGGGTGGAGAGGCAGGGGAGGGAGGAAAGAACTCTCGGGAGCTGGAAGCTGGAGGGGAGGCTGTGCCCGCAAGACTGGGCCAGCATCCTCTGGGGGAGTTTGGTGAGCAGGGAGCAGAGAGAGGATATGGGGGTGGGGGGAGAGGTACAATGCCGGCAGCCCTTCCACTATGCAAGACCCCAGGGCTGCTTGGCAGCTGATAGGCAGCTACAGGAGCAGGGGAGAAACTGACAAGCTGGGAGCACCAAAGGCACATCGCTAAACCACCCACCTTTCCTCCCTTCACTGCTTGGTCCCCAAGATCCCCACCCCCAATCAGCCCAACAATACCTGCTCTGCTCCCCAACACCCAAAGAAAGCTGTTCTGTAGCACTAAGATTATGCACAACCTAGCCCCTCTGTTCCACATAGATCTCCCCCCAACCCTGCCAAACTCTGACCAGCAAAGTCCCCCTGACCCTTCAAGATCCCAACATCAAAACAGTTTGCAAGAGCTATCAAAATGCACACGTCCTTTGACCCGGAAATTCCACTGGAAATGGTGATCTCTCCTTCCACTGCCGCACATACTGCTCTAGGCACAGAGGTGTTCACGGCAGCACTGTTGGTCACACCAAAAAGAGAAGAAAAGAAAGGAACAGAGCAAACATCTTACGTGTCCATCACTGGGGAAGGATTTTTTTAAAATCTTGGTTCGTGCACACCACGGAATTATACGTAGCCTATGAAAAATGGAGAACTACGTGTGCTGATCAGAAGAGGTGTCGAGACAGATGGTTAAAAAGTGCAGCAAAAATACATAAAATGTACGTGCGCACAGAATTATATGTATATGGATGTTGATGCGCAGAGAGATGCATATGTTCCATTTTATACATACATGCCTGGGATGACTAAGAGTGCGCACTTCCGGAGTGCAGGAACTGGAGGAACAGGGCGGAGGAGGAGAACAACTCTCGCTTCCCACTGCACACACGGGCTCCTCTGTCAAGAGTTTTTCCACTTTCTTGCCTCTCCCAGGCAATGTTTGGCGTCTTCCTTTGTATTAGAACCTTATCTGCAACCCGACTCCATCTCACACCTCTCTCCCATCAGACTGTCCCCACTTCCTCCGTCCCCTTCCCTGTGGCTTGCTCCCCTCTGCGTCCACCCTGTGTGGATGGAATTGCATTGCAGCAGGTGCTGTCCTGGGGATCCTCTCCAAGCAAGGCTGTTGTAGGGAGGGAGGAGTCAGCTTTGCTCCGTGTTTTGTGGGACCCATGAGGAAGCATCTCACATTTCAGTCCAGGCTAAGAGCAGAGAGCAGAGAAGGGGGGGGTCCTGGGGCAGTAGAGAGTGAGCACTCCATCACCGGAGACAGCCAAGGGGTGGATGGATGACCACAGATAGCGATGCCAAGGAGGGCGACCCATGGCCCAGAACCTCACAGGGAAGCTGCAGGAAGGCAGAGAGGGTGGGAAATCATGCTGCTCTGCTAACTTGCCTGAGTGAGCCTGATGCCTGGAAGCAGCATCCTGAGAGGTTCAAATCCCCACCACCAACTCCAGTCTGTGGGACTCCAGGCCAATAGCTCTACCTTCCTGCCCCCAACTTAAGGCTCCAAGGCAAAAGCAAAGCTTCACATGCCATTAAACACCGGCAGACAAAGGGTGAAGGCGGCAGGGTGTGGGAAGGCAGGACACACACAAGAAGCATCTGCCACTCAAATTTTGTTTGAAGAGTAAATGAGAGGTGCCCGTGAAGTGAACATGGCAGAGCCTGACAGCACGTCACATGTGCTGGGTGTGACTACTCTCATTCATTCTGCTTACTGTGCTATTTGAGATGTTGTTATCCCACAAAGCCTGGGTCTGCTATCTCCGAAGTCCTTTCCAAGTTGGAGATTTCGACCATTTGCTGAGGAGTGAGCATCAAGACTCACTGGAACCATTAATCTCAAGAGAAAGGTCTGGAGTGGTGTGAAGCAGTCACAGGAAGAAGTGACAGTACTGTGGCCCTGTCTGCACAGAGAGTGACTCGGGAACTTGTCTGAGTTGTGGTAGAGCCAGGTGACATGGGATGGGACTGGACAGGAACCTTGAAAAGCCTCTTGACCTCCCTGGGCCTGTGTTCCTCTATCACTGAACCAGCCAGTGACAGTCCTGTGATTAATGAGAGATGGAAGAAGTGCTTCCGCCTCTGATTATGTGCGTTGTTCGGGCGCTGTGGGCTTCTGGGGTAATGATTTTCCTGCAAGGTATATTTCTGGTTCCAGCCTGACGCTTGCTCATTTTCCAACCAGCCAAGGACAAAGGTAGTATCACTGCTTGTTGCTACAGTGACACTTAGGGACAATGCTACAGGTACAGCAGGGAGGCGCCAGGAGAAGGTGCCCTGTCTTTCTTACCTGGAAGGTTGGGCCTTGAGGGGATTTCCCTGGTCTGGAGAACAGGGCAGTGGTGGGA